CTAGGCATTTTTTAAGTAGCTGCTTAAAAATGTCCCTTAGTAAATTATTACTTAGTCAACACTTTGAAAGCAAAAGGAGTTAATTTTAGATTGAAAGCATAGCCGGACCTAGGGATATTGTCAGAATTTGTACACTTAACTGCATTAATTACTGCCAGGACAATCAGAGAATAAAGTAAAGTAAGAAGTCTATCTGACTGGTCAGCTTAACTTGCTAATATCATATTTTTAAAAAGGCAAGACACCAACAGAATGAGTTGTAACAAGTTTGATTATATGGGCACAGGCACCTGTCAGCATGACTGAAACATAGAACCTGGGCACTCTCACTAGAGGCCACAATGACCCCAACTTCTGTCACTTATTTCTTCACTGATTCCTCAATAACTAAGTTGGTCATTGAATTTGATATTAGCTGATATGCTACTATATATTTTTTTCATTATTTCACATTTATATGCTTTGATATTTTCTACTCCCCTCATTCTTTCTTGAGAGCCAAACAGAGGCAATGCTTATTGAATGTCTATGTGATCTTCTAGGGAGAGTGGAGAATTGAAATTTGTATTCATTTAGTCTAAAATATATATTGAGTACTAATAATATGCTGAGATATGAAGATTAATAAAACTTAACCTATATTCTTGAGAATCTGGAGTGAATATCTTTTTCTACTTTAGAGTTATCACTCCCAACATGGCAAAAACCAAAGAAAGAAAGGAAGGAAGTGACCATTCCCTGGGGACCCCTCTATGTGGCAGCAGATTTATGTATTATATCAGTTAGTGTCACAACAACTCTATGAAATAGGGATGGCAATACCCACTTTAAATATGAGGAAACTCTTGCTCAGAGGTGCTGAGTAACTTGCAGCCCATCACTCAGCCACCTTGTAATTGAGCTGGAGCGAAAATCAAGTCTATCTCCAAAGCCCCCATGCTTTACTCACCAACAGGGGCCCTCCCTGGCAGTCCGCGCTTGGATCTTCTAAGATGGCTCACTTTTAGTGAATGCCTGTGTTATACTCAAAAGCAATTACTTGATGTCCAGGCACCAAATGACTTGGAGGTGATATGGAAACAGGCTCATGCCTCAAATGAACAGACTTACCGTCAAGCAACATTTTGGCTGCCATGGCGGTGGGTAACCCCACGGTTTTAGCCATGGCTGAAAAGCCATTGATGTCCCCATAAGCCACAAGATCAATCGTTTTATTTTCTAAATGTCCAGAAGGATGTCTGATTCCAAAGCTGTCTCTCATCACAATCATATCTTTTTCTTCAGGACCTTAAAACAAATAAAGATAAGTAAAAACGCCACTATCATTACAACTCAAATATCGTCTACGATCTCCTCCTCCTGCCCTTCTGGTTTTAAAAGTTTTCCCTCCTTTTATATATGATCACTAGACAATTAATTACACAGCTTTTTAGCCCAAAGTCAAAGTGAAAACCTCAAGGAAATTAGAACTCTGATTGCATTCCTTTATCTGGGATGGTATCACCGTATCCTGTTTACAGACACGAAGGCACTGCTTTAGAGGCCTTTTAGTGTGCTCCAAAAATGCTTCTTAGGCATTTGCCTAATGCATTAAAAAAAAAAAAAAAAAAAAAAGGTAATGTCAGGCACAGTGGCTCATGCCTGTAATCCCAGCACTTTGGGAGGCTGAGGTGGGCGGATCACCAGGTCAAGAGATGAAGACCATCCTGGCCAACATGGTGAAACCTTGTCTCTACTAAAAATACAAAAATTAGCTGGGCATGGTGGCGCACACCTGTAGTCCCAGCTACTCAGGAGACTGAGGCAGAAGAATCTCTTGAACCTGGGAGGCAGAAGTGCATTGAGCCGAGATCACACTACTGCACTTCAGCCTGGTGACAGTGCAAGACTCCATCTCAAATAAATAAATAAATAAATAAATAAACAAACAGTAAAACTATGTTTTTCCTTTTCTATAATAACTATCTTTATTTTTACTTAATAATTCTCAAATTCTTCTCCCTGGAAAAATAGTCCAATTGCCTTTTCGTCACACCACATCTTCCCATTCCAGCTGCTTGGCGCCAACCTTCCAGTATGATTATCTGCACTGACTCTATCTTTTGATTCTTCTTCAGGTATATTTAGCTAACACTTCATAGCCTACCATAGGAAAGCTTCATGACCAAATGCTTGGAGAGGGCATCCACAATGGACTCTGCCTGAGGGACTTCTTCATCCCCAAGTAAGCCCAACCTGAAAAGCACAGGAGATGGCTGCATTAGTTCAAGTCCTATACATGTTCTCATTTGGGAAGCAAAAGGGAGCTCCTTGAATTTAATCTTGAAAGGGCAGAATTACAAGATGGTAACTCAAGTTGTAGGATTTTCCTAAAGTGTAAAATAATAACAATATCAATGTTTTAACCTTCAGAATCATCTCCAGACTCACCCAGACACTACTCCCCGGAGCAGGACAGAGATGATGCATTGTAATCCCATGTTCTTACAAAGCTCTTTATGAGATTAACTTAGAGGTTAGTTCTCCAACATTAAGTATACCAGCAGGATGCCACAGCAGTCATATGAAAGAATGTTTTAATGTAATATTCTCTGACTACTCAGAATCTCCTACAGGAAAGCAAAAATACCCCACTATGCTTGGGAACTGAGTAATAAAGTGTTTCCAGATAAGCATTTCTCAAATTATAATTGCCATAGAGCTCCTTTTTTTATCTACTCTCTATGACCACATGAACATGGCACATGATAATCTCTCTACCCACATTAGAGCAACAAATTAATCAAAGACAAATGTAAAATATTTAACTTTTTTTTTAGTAGAAATTAGCAATCATTGATCCAGTATATTTTGCTCTAAGTTGAGTGGTGGGTGCCTACCATTCAGCAGCCTCCAACTGGGTATTGTCTCCTCCTAGTTTCTTAAGAACAGCTTCCTTCAACACATTGTGCTCAGAGGAGGGTGAAATCCCAACTAGGTCACAGAGGAGTTGTTTCTGGTTAGAAAAATAAAGACAAAATTTCTAAGTCTCTAATAATTTTTTTTTAATTAACTGAAAAATTATCCTACTAAAACACTGAACTTCAAATACACCTCAAATTTTAAAATTAAAAATAATTGGAAACAGGAAATTGTAACACATACACATACATATACGCATCTGCATACCTACACATCAATAAATAGCTGCTATTCCAAAATGATACTTCACCAATAAAAATGGGTTCTAAGATCAACTCAATACAAAACAGATGGTGTGCTTCTTACTAGCACATTCCCTGTCTTTGTATATCCTCTCTATCACTATTTTTTTACCCATTCTCCCCCTACCCTCTAGCAGTCCATTTTGACCAGGATGAAGTGGAAAAGGCTTACTGCAGTGGTTGCCAGTAGCAACCCAGGTTCTTTTGTAGGTTCAAGAGATAAGAAAGACCTTGCAGTTAATAAAATCTCAAAGGAAGAACATGTAAACAGTAGCCATAGTTTTTTCTACTTTCGAAACAAGACTTTCTCTAGGCTCCCAAAGGAAATGCTATGCTCTAGATCAGGAGTGAACCAATTGGTTCACAGACCAAATTTGGCTCACTGTGTTTCATTAAATAAAAAGTTTTATTGAAACACAGTCATGCTCATTGGTTTATGTATAGTCTATGGGAGAAGTGAGTGGTACTGACAGAGACCATGTGGCCCATAAAGTCTAAAACATTTATAACCTGGTCTTTTACAAAAAAGACCATCCCTAAGAATGTCTGCACCAACCTTCTCAAGCCAGCTGCCTCAACCCCAGGTTCTCTCTGCAGATATTTATTCACTCCTACCCAACAAGTAAATTTATGAAAGGTAAAACTTAAGATTGGAAAGGTTCACAAATGCACACACAAAAAAATGAGTGTAAAAGCATCACAAAGAAGTGATGAATGCTTAAGGTGGTAGATACTCCATTTATCCTGATGAGGTTATTACACATTGCATGCCTATTTCAAAATATATCATGTCCTCCATAAATACACACACCTACTATGTACCCATAAAAAATTAAAAAATAATTTTTTTAATGAAACTAGCTAGCAAGAATACCAAAACTTTTTTTTGAGATTTAATAGAATTAGCAACATTGGTCCTTTTCTCCTTGTGATACATTTCTGGCATTTCTATTGGAATATGGGCACACTAGTTTAAGTTGAATGACCAGCTGGTAATGAGTTAATTCTGAGCAGTTAGTGGAAGCTCTACTTCACATTCATTTCCAAGCCTCCAAAGTTCATTCCAACTCTGAGGCCTTAAGATTTTGGTAGAACAAAAGATGGACACATAAGCTTGGTAACTGAAAATCAAAACACTCATAGTTCTAAGTAACCACATGAGAGTATTGACAAGATTTGGAGGTTGGGAATCCAGTTCTGTAATACACTAGTAACTCTCCTGGATTCTCACTTTCAGGAAGCCCAAGTGACTCCCATCACTGGGTCACCACTTAGACGACTGGAAGAGCTCAGAGCTTAATGCAGAGAGCAAATCCATCTCTTACCATAGCTCAAGGAGCAGTCAAATGATGTAAGTTGCTGCAGGAAACAGGCCTGATATGTGTCAGCCCCATACCCTCTCCATTCTTCCACAACAGTGAGGGGAAAGGGGGCTTCAGAATTATGATTTATCTTCCTGCTCATAAGCTAATAAATGGGTTCTTTTGTTGATCCAAAGCAGAGTTCACCCCTGACCATTTCAGAAGGTATTTCTGAAGAGGAGCAGATAGAACGTAATTCCAGAGTCACTCACCCAGGTGAGAAAGTTGGCCTCAGGTCTGAAGGCAGGAAGTGCTTCTCTGTTTATAAGACCTAATTTTACAAATCCATTCAAAGCTTTCATATATCCCTGAAACAAGAATTAATAAGCAGTATATAAAATGTTTTTCTTCCAATGAAAAAATATAAAATATTTTTGAAAAGAGGGATCTTCATAACTAATTTAGAAAATAATTGTTTATATTGATGATATGAGTGCTACAGCTCTTTTAGAATTTGCCAAGCAGGTTTTCTCATCTTTACTAGAAACCCCTCTCCACAACCCACCAAAAAAAAAAAATGTATTGAGGATATAGTTACAACTAATTTCAAACTCAAACTGAGATCAATAGTGTCATAACAATTCCACTGGTTTACATAAAAGACCTTGTAAAACTTAGGTCTTTACTTCTGTTTCTGGGTAACATGTGAATGAAATTTTCTGGCAGCATAAGGGCAAATTTTCTTATGTGTTATATGCTGTCAGCTCAGCAGAATATTATTTAATAGAACAGTCAGTTGAGCTCTTTCTTATAATGGAAGGAGGAACTTGTAAGAATATCCTCCTCAAAAGCAGATAATCCAATCTACTGATTAGAGCCACTACCCCCAAGATATACGGAGAGAAGAAAAAGAGGTAGGAATCAGAGAGATTTTTCTAAGATAATGATGACATCACCACTCTGATAAAAATTCCTCATATGTCTTTCATTGTCTACAAAGCAAACCTGAGGTCCTTGGTATAGTATATAAAACCCATCACAATATGCTCATCTAACCTAACTCACAGATCTCCACTTTTACTATTCCCCAAATGCGCTGTGTTCCTCCAGAAACCAGGGCCTCCGTATATGCTGCTCCTGTAACTGGAATGTGTTGTCCATACTTCTTCATTTATGAAATGTTTTCTCCTCCCTTCAGACCTAGTTTAGCACCTCTTCTGAGTCCCCTAGGTGAGTGGAGACTCCCTTCTTGTAGCATTTTGTATATACCTTTATCATGGCAATTAATACAGCTTGTAATTAATTGTCTATTCAGCTGCTGTACTGTAGGTATTGAAAGGAGGGAAATAATATCTGTATTATATTATATTATGTTATATTATATTTTATTTGTGTGCATATTCTTCATCCCAATGCCCACTTCGGGGCAGATAAGTCAAGCAAATAATGCCTAGTCCATGGTGAGCAAAAATGCATCACCACTGATGATTAAACTGTAGAAGAGTATTATATTAATAGGTGCTAGGTTAGAGGAAAACATAGCTGTGGGAGCACAAAAGAAGGGGAACTCACATAGATGGGGCTGGGTGGTTCAAGGGGAAGGAGTTAGGGAGGATACCATAGGAAGGTATTCAACATTATTCAACATTCCAATCCATTATTCAGCATTCCAATCCCCTAAAAAGGAACAAATGGCTGGATAAATAGATTCTGAATAATAGATGAAGTGAAGAAAGACCATAATGGTTTATTCTCCAGTGTGCCAATGGGAAGCAGGGTGAGAGGGCTAAGATAAGAAATTTTGCAGCTGCTGTAATTACTGCTCAAGCAGAGAGAGAGAGAAGAAAAGAGAGAGAGGGAAGTAATTCTAGGGAGCAACAGAGTTTTTAAAATATAAAATAGTTCCTGTAACCATCAGATACTTCACAACTGAATGTCTGGTCAACTAGCAATTTTCACATTTCTAAAGGTTATATTGTTCAAACTGTTTAAAGGTTACTAAAAAAAGAATTCTCATTTGCTCTAATCCAAATGCAAATATACTTCAAAGAGGAGAAACAGAAAAGTAATATCACTAGCTTGTTTAGCTCGCTTCTGGGACCTGTTAGGTGATAGAGATCCCTTTATCCAACATCTAAAATGCTGATTTCTGAGCTATTTATTAATCTCAGAAATATATTTTTATGCTGACCCCTAGAAATGAATTTATTTTAGGTATTCATTCATCAATAAGCATTTAGCAAACTGCTGCCATATGTCAGACTTGTGCTAGGGACTGAGGCCACAGAGACGAAAAAAAAATGCAGTCCCATCTATGCAGAAACTGCAGTCAACAGAAGGGTCAGATAAGTCAAGTAAATAATTCCTAGTCCATGGAGCACAAAAATGCATCACCACTGATGACTAAACTGTAGCAGAGTATTATATTAATATGTGCTAGGTTACAGGAAAACATAGCTGTGGGAGCACAAAAGAAGGGGAACTCACATAGATGGGGGTGGGTGGTTCAAGGGGAAGGAGTTAGGGAGGATACCATAGGAAGGTGCTATTAAGCTACATCTAGAAGGACAAGCAGGTGACAGGCAGGCAGAGAAGGAGAGTAGCCAAGGCCTCTTTGTCATATTTGAATGATGGTATCTCATCTCCAGTACTGGAAAGAATGTTAGGGTTACCAAAGGGTTGCTGGCATTGCCCAGGATGGTGGCCCTTATGATTATGAACACTGTGACATCTTCCATCCTCAGAATCTGTGGGGATGTCTCCCACTTGCACACCTTGTTGAGACCTTTATTCAATGTTTAAATCTATTAAAATCCTTCATTCCAGGATCTATATGTTTGTCAAAAGACTATACTGAAAGCCATATATCCTAACTACTGGCCAAAAAAAAAAAAAAAAAAGTTACTACTCATATTCTTTGAACAAATTGAAGAAAAGAGATGAAGAAATCTGCCAGAGCTGGGGATAGTATGCATGAGTTCAGACTAGAATTTCTACTGTGCCTAAAGGTTGGTAGAAGAGCCACAGCTCCTAGATCTCAGGAGGACATTGTCATTGATGTCTCATTTGATTCCTGGACAATGAAAAAGTCATATTCATGGAGTACAAGCACCTGCTCTCTAGGAGCTTACAATCTCTTTGGGGAGACAAGAAAAATATACATAAAATTATCATTTAAAATGCTGACAAGTAAACGCTAAGTGCCCATAAATGTAACAGAAGCTCTCAAGAGTAAGAAATACAGTAGTTGTTTTCTTTTTAAGAACAGATAGGTGGGTGAACCTGGAAGACATTTTGCTAAGTGGAATAAGTGAGACACAAAAAGTAAAATATTGCATGATCTCACTTACATGCAGAATCCTTTTTTTTAAGAAAGTAAAATATGCAGAGATAGATAATAAAACCGGGTTACCAGGGGCAGGGTTGCAAAGAAGAAAAGAACAAGGCCTGAAGGAGTACGATACAAATACTTGGAGGAAAATTTCCAGGCAAAAGGAACAGCCAGCAAAAAAAGATAAGAGAGCGACAGAAAAGCAGGCACATGATTGAAGAGTCATCACTGACAGGTCCATGTGCCTTACATCTTCCAGTTAAAAAGATAATTAGAGAATACTAGATAACACACATGAGACAAATCCCCTCTCTGGCCTTAGCCAGGAAATCTCACAAGACAGACAGATTTGCAGCCAGGTCTCTGATCTTGAGAGACGCATGTATTTTAGGTATGCTGGTTACATTAGGTTGAGTTGAGTGCCCTGTCGCCAAATTTATGGGCATCCAGAGCCTCAGAATATGGCTTCACTTGAATGTTTGCAGATAGAATTAATTAAGGATCTCAATATGAAGTCAACCCGGATTTAGGGTGAACCCTAAGTCCAATGACTAGTGCCCTAATAAGACGGGAGGCAACACAGTGAGACATACAGAAGAGGGTGATATGAAACTGAGGCACAAACTGGATGGATGTGTCTCAAAGTCAAGCCTCCAAAAGGCACCAACCTTACTCACACACACCTTGATTTCAGACTTCTGGCCTCCTGAATGGTGACAGAATAAATCTCTATTGTTTCAAGCTACCCAATTTGTGATATTATGCTAGAAAACTATTAAACCAGTTGTCTTGATTTGGTTACACTTGTAACTGCTTTTTTTGTGATCAACAAATGTGTAGTGGACATTTGCATTTATGCTCCTAGAATGTACTCCCCATTTTGTGGTTTAAAAACATTTTGGATTTGCTCTGGGGAGGCCCCTTTAATCTTGTCTGTTTCCTCCACCCCAGTCCTCATTTTTTAATGACATTGAATCCATCTCCATTTCTAGGGACATATAACATAGGTCAAAGTAGATGAGCACATTTTATCCCACTGACCTTAGGGAGCTAATGAGACAAAAATCGTATTTTTGGCTATTAGAACGGTATCATTTTTTATTCCCACTGAATTTGATCCTGAGAGCCTGGGGATGCTGCCACAACTCTGCCATCGCATAGCACTTGAGACTCCAGTGAATACTGGAAAGAAGAGCCGAGAGGTTACAAGAAATCAGGTCCTGGGGAAGTCACTTGACCTCTAACTCTCACTAAGCCTGAAGCCCTGCCTGTCCTCAATCCTAATGAGTCAATTAATTATCTTTTTATTTTGAGGTGAGTCTCCTAAAATATTCAATCATAAGATTTCTGAAAAAAAATAAATAGACTCCAACTTGGTTTATCATCTTAATTATTTTGACTACTAAGAAAAGTTAAGTGTACACATCACTTACATCAAAACTGGCAACATGTTGAATCTAAAGTCCAGCTGCTTACCTTATATCTCAGTGTCCCCCGCAACAAAGTGTGAGCAGAAGAAATGCCATAAATCTCAGCATATTTCGTACTGTCTCTGTTAGGATAGCCTTCCAAATTTAATCCTGGGAAAAAATCCATGGATGTAACGGCATCAAGAAAGGAGATGCCCCCTGCAACATTCACAACCTGAGGAACATTGAGAAGGCACAGATGGGGTTACAGTTGTTCCTTTCTTTTAGGGCTTCCCTGAATTATATGGACAAAGAAAGCAACAGAACTTTGAAAAAAAAAATAATGAAACCACCATAATCATTATCCCATACTTAAGCTGTTCTTCTAATATCATAATTCACAAAGCAATTCTTCTCTCAAGCTTTAAAATTTGACTCTAAAACATTTAGTTTTTCTAAACATAAGGTCTTATTTTCAAGTTTTTTCCTTCCCCTGGATAAAATGGCACTAAATTATTTACCACTAGAATTTGCCTTTTTAAAAAATATAAATATTTAGAAAAAAGTTTTAAAATAAACATTTTAATTTTATTTTTTTAAACATTTATTTTAAAATAAAAAATGTTTAAAAAATAAACATCTAAAATTATTTTATATAAAAATGTTTAAAAAATAAACTTAAAAAAATAAGTTAAAGCAACAGATAATTATTTAAATGGCTGCTATGCTCAAACAACAATCAATATTCTCATTCTTTTCTTTTCTTTTCTTTTTTTTTTTTTTAAACTCATCCTAAAGTTTATTTAGAAGAATAAACTGTAAAATACACAAGGCGATTTTGGAGAAGGAAAAATATGAAGGGAGACTTACTTTACCAGATATAAAGCCATACATCCATGGAAGTTCAACAGTGTGATATTGATATGGTGCTAGACATGTTGTCAGTAGAACAGAATTGAGGGTCCAGAAGTGACTTATATACACCCCCCATGCACACACATACATATATAGAGTTAGATTTATGGAAGTGTAGGCTTTCCAGAGCCATAGGGTGGCCTCATCAATAAATGGGTTTCCATTATTTTTATAAAAGATATTGGAAGCCTCTTTTTATGTGACAATCAGTTCCCAGGTGTGAATTGTGAAAGGCACAAAGATTATACTTTTAGAGCAAGGGTGTTCCTTTATACACCATGGAATACTATGCAGCCATCAAAAAGGATGAGTCTCATTCTTTTCTTTTACTTTCATGACCCTTCTAAATGCCACATTAGTCATCAGTCACATACATTTCATTCAGACAGCTAAATTTATTGAGCAGTTACTATCTATGTGTCGGGGATCACACAAATTGTGAAGGGAATAACATGAGTGATGAAATAAAAATCTTTTGATATCTCAGTACTTCTATTTCCCATACCCCTACCCCCATCACACATACTCAAAATGCAATGAAGGATTTCTTTGTCTCTAATTTTAATTAAAGGACAAATTTTCTTTTAGTTTATGAGGCTTATTATTATCATTGAGATAATGGAAAGTATTCTAGAGTGATAAAATTAGGTGTGAGAATTCTGGTTGGTGCTGCTGGTGGAACTGAATTTTATCCTTATTGTACCACTGGAAACAATTTCTGACCAATTTCTCTAAGCTGCACAAAGCAATACTGTACCAGGGAGCTGCCAATGTACTTTAAGGTGGATTCACAGGATTTGCCTGAAGAGGCCTTTGGCTAAACTTAATGATTGTCATGCCTTATTTGTAGATGGGTTCTGAACGTGCCTTTGTATGAGACAGAAAATGGAAACTCATTTATATGTGGATGAAGCCCCAGAAAGAAAAGGGCTATGCTGGCTGCAATGTCAGGACCACTGGAGTCTTTTCAGTTCAGAGGCTCACTTTGGAGAGTGCCAAGCACCATTTCAAATTTCAAAAGTGAAAATCTGAATGAAGGATGTAAGGAATGCCTGTCATTTAATTTTCTTGTGAACTCTTCTAGACTGCAGAGTAAACATTTCCAAAGGGATGATTTCTGTACTACATCTTTAAAATCAATATATTTAAAAGAATTCTAAATTTTTGAAAAAATGTAAGAAAGCAAATGTTGGGCATTGTAGTGCCCACCTGTAATCCCAGCTACTTGGCTCAGGAGGCTGAGGCAGGAGGATGGCTTGAGTCCAGGAGTTTGAGAATAGCCTGAGAGACACAGGCTGTTTAAGACACCATCTCTTAAAAAACAAAAAAAGCAAATGTTGACCGTTAGGGTCTTCACACCCATCTCATTTCTGTAATCTATGACAGTTCTTAAGTTTTGTTTGCTTGTTTGAAGGTCAGGAAAATTTCTGAAAGAAAAATTCAATAAAGACGACAATATTCCAGCTTACCAATCAGAAATAAAACAGCAAGTTCATAAGTCTATCATGAAATCCTTACAAAGAAGATGGAGAAATGTAAGCTGAATGGCAATGGTTCATTTATTGAGAATGGCAGTTGGCTAAGCAACCTGACCCAAAAATTACTGGGTAATCATTGTCATTTGATATTAATTCATAGTTGTATTTCTAGTGGCATATAATGTAGTTCAACAATAAGTTCTTTCTTCGTTATTGTTTTATTAATAATTTGAATGACAACAGAAACATATTCGTCTGTTTTGTGGAGAATATACGTTTCTTTCTGCTCTGACAATGCTCAGGCTCATTATTCACTGCTGTTGCAAGTTTCTCTAGGTCCAGCTCTTTCACACACACACACACAGACAAACACAAATACGTATCTCCCAACTAGAGAGAATCACTGTTATATTTGAATAATGTATCATATATATTTAAATAATCACAATAAGCTTGATCACCAAATTAATAAGGAAATATACAATCATTTTTTCAGGGCCCACTATGTGCCCCGTGCCTTGTACTGGGCATTATCTTTAATCCATGAAATAACCCATTTTTCAGAGGTAAAAACTGAGGCTGAGTCACCCAAAGGCAAATTGAACTCAGTTCTATTTGACTGCAATGTCTGTGTTCCTTCTACTACACTGTCCCCTTAATCATGCTTGTTTCTGAATCAGTATTTTTAAGGGGATATTGACAAAGTCAGCATTCCAGATTATGCCACCTGGGATCCACATGAAAGCTGCATAAAGAATGGATACAGGCAAAGGAAGACAGTGGTAGCTCTTGATTTCCAAGGGGCTGGGTGCTGCAGTCAAGGTGGTGGCAGGCAATGGATAGAGGGCTAGAAAACTTCTCTTAAAGCGATGTTTGCAGAGCAAGCACACTTCTCACTCAGATTACATGTTTTGCCAGGTTAGACTGGGAAACACTGCAGAAGGTGATGGCAAAGCTCTGCCATGTCACTCCCAAATGCCACCAATGTAAAAAAGTATACCACCCCTGTGAGGGGAATGAAACCAAGAAAAGATGAAATCACTGTCTCTGAATATGTGGAAGAAAATCACAATTGTTAAGAATCAAATTAGAAGTTAGAAATAGTACAAGTGGCTAGAAATTACTGCAAAGATATAAGACAATGAGATATATTCAAATTCATAGGCCACTGCCCAATTTCTGGAAAAGTTTAAGGCTTCAATTTTAAGTAGAAGTCAGAGAAGTGACTTGGTTCCCCATTATGATTCTGTGAATTATTTAAGACCCGTTCCATGGTGCAGGGTGATGATGGCACAGGGAGTGAAGGGCAAGAATACAAGAGAGGTTTTAAGTTGTTTAACAATCTGGCTTGGGAAACACACTGAAACACTTGAATTATTGACTGAATAATGCAGCACCTAGAAAATTCTTAGACACGGAAAAACGAAGTATCTGATTCTTTGATTCAGTTCAGACAAAATAATAGTGAACAGAGGCTGGAGTGGTCACAAAAAGCTTCATCCACAAGAGGAAACGCAAGTGGGACCTTGAAAAGAGTATTATTTTAGCAAAGAAAAGAAAAGTGTCATGTTTTCTCTTGGTATCCTCCACAGTGTCAGAGAGATGCAAAAAGTACTCATTTTTACAAAAGAAGTTGAGGATGAAAGAGGAGAACTTCAAATCTAACAAATACAACTTCTGCTACCTGAAAATAACCTCTTGCTTTTCTTAAACCCTCACAACTACTAATTTCCTTAAGTAGCTAATATTTGCTAGATTGATTACATGCCTGACAATCTGCTGTTAGGCAGATTGCAATCTATGTGACCTCACTGACTAAGAACCCCGGAAGGCTGGCGTGATTGTCCTCATCTTCCGACAAGGAACCCAAAGCTCACAACCAGTAATGGCAGAGCCAGGCCCACAGATAGCAAGTTTCTTGCTCTTTCTTTTAGATGATTGTACTCTGCTGACCCTTTCATTGTTACCAACTTTAGCATTTATAAGGCCTCCTGAAAATAAGTGTTTTACTCAACTGAGACAAGAATTTGTCTTGCTTTCACATGTTAATTTATACTAAACATAGGCCAGTCTCTTAAGATCGCAGAAGGTAAAAGGAGCAGTTGGAATGCAATAGGAGACAGGCTGTAGCATGTAAAAGGATGTGTGCTTGATAAAACATCAGACTAAGATTCTGGTCCAAAGCTTCATGATTCATAGTGAAAGGACACAAAGATAGATGTGTACCCGCCCCCCACCCGCTACACCCTTGTTCTGCTCTCTAATCTTTGCACGTACCAGAGGTTTCGTAAGTTCTGTAAGTACATGTTTTTCTTTCTGAGGCCAGGTCACAAGGAATGTTTAAGTAAGATAGCCAGGTCACAAGGTGTGTTTAAGCAAGATAGCCATAAACTGGTCGTGCAACCTGATGCAATATAATTAACTGCCTTTGTGTAAAACTGCTCTTCCGCCTCAAGGGTTGTACTGAAATATCAGAAATGGCGGGAACCAATCATAGTTTGCCAAATCGCTTTGTTCAAACTCCAGCCAATCATACCTCTAATTTGTATAATGATTCTATGCCTACTTTCCTTAGACTATATAACATTGTTCGGCGCTCAGTAGGGGAGCTCTCCTGCCCGTCTCGTTTCACGAGCAAGTGAGAGCTCCAGGTTCGAACCTGTAATAAAGATCCTTGCTGCTTAGCTTTGACTCTGGACTCTGGTGGTCTTCTTCGGGGAATAAACGGTCTGGGCATAACAATAGAACTAAAGAATTGGATGGAACATCAGTGCTCACATTCCACATCAGGAAACTGACATCCGGTGGATCTTTTCAACTGCCAGGTCTTTGGCTATGTTATGAGGGATGCCAGGAATTAGACCAGAACTCATCGATCCTGTTTATTATCCTGAAACATATCACACATTCCAGCACCAAGTTAAAGTGTCCTGCTTGTTTAGTACTATTTTAAGTGTAGCTGTGGTTCTCTGATCATCAAATCAGTTGTTCTCAAATTCGGCTGCATATTAGAATCACTAGGGAGATTTTAAAAATCCCCAAACCCAGGCAAATCAGAATCTTTAGGGATGAGGCCCAAGCACTTTTTAAACTCCCCTTGTAATTCCAAGGTACAGCCAACTATGAGTTATTCTCTATATCACGGGCACGAAAGACCATGGCTAATAACAGCATTCACCTTGTTGCTTAAGAAATTCTTTCTGTCAACTCCTGAAATACATTTCGATTCACAGATACATTGACAATGTAAAATACTGATGCTAGAATAATCTTTTTAAGACACATCTATCTGATCATATTACTCATCATTCCCTGCAGGGCCAGTACTAGGGCAAGGTGAGTGAGTGCCTACAACACAATTCAAAGAGGCACTCTGAGTCTCATTACATTTTTCTCCAAACTATGAGCATAAACTATGAAGTCAGATAGATGTGATTTGGATACTGGCTCTGCCACTTGCCATTTCTTTAAATGTAGCTGTTATCTTAAATCCCTAAACCTGATTTTTCCCCTTGTAAAACTGTCATACCATGAGTGCTAACATCCCTGCCTAGCTGGCACCTTCATATCCTTCAAGGCCAAGCACATCCTCTTCTCCACTAGGTTTCCTTCTCCCCATCCTCCTTCCCTCAACCCCTTCACCAAGGCCAATTAAACTGTTCTCCTGTCTGTACCTCTGAGCCACTTTAACATGCTTTGGAAATTTCCATATTCGATTATAATTATTTATTCCCGTGTCTGTCCTTCCAGCCATTAGGCAATCTGGGAAAGGGAGAAAAAAACATCTTTAAGAGTTAGTTAGACCTGAGTTTGACTCTCAGTCAAATGACCTCGGACATGCTCTCTGAGCCACAGCTTTCTTATTGTAAAATAATGAAAATAATACTAAACTCAGAGAGTTCTTATGTTCTGTTACATGGCAGCTGGGGAAGAAATTGCAGTTTCTTTCCCCAGCACAAGAAACCCTCCATTCTAAGCGCTAAAACCCATCCCCAATCCAGCTGTGAGTTTCCTGAGGTCATGAATTTCATTCTCCGTGCCAGTCTTGGGTAACTTGCCCAAAGTCCAGCACATAGTAGATACTCAGAAAATGTCTGTCATGCTGAAATAAACCAAGAGATAACCAGTGTTTACATATATAGAGAAGTGAATTTTTGAATGGCAGAAACAACTTGTGAGAAGGCATAGGGAAGAATAGGCACAGGCTTTGCTTGGACCTGCAAGGAGACCATGCTAAACAGAGCAGAAAATATACACTGTGAAATACCACAGGAGGAGATAATGGAGACAGCATTATTAAAGGGTTTGGGATCAGGGAGTATTTAGACTGTCCCAGGCAGTTATTGCAGGTTGATATCACTATGATTGGATGAGATTCCTCACCTTTCCATCAAGCAGATAGGTGGCAGACTGCATTACGTTCATCAAAACTCCCACCGGACTCCAGCTAAATTTATATCTCAATGGATTGTTCGAATGTTCGGGGGCTGGAAGCCCACCACAGTAGGAAATATATGATTCAATCTATAAATTAAAGAATCAATATATAAGGAAGAATTCACAAGTTAGAGAATGCCTAAGTAATTAATTGAGGACAATGATATGAATGGAGTAAACTTGCTACAGTTTTTCATTCTTAAAGTTACTAAGGCGTTCGAAAATACATCTTCAAAGCCATGTACCATTCGATTAAATAACAGATGATTTTATATATATGTTTTTTAAAAAAACTGTAAAAATAGTGACTAACATTTTGTTCAGTTAAAAATCCAACTCTTAGTTCAATTCTACTTGGTCAGTTCCTACTAACTTTTGAATTAAAATTATATATTTACATATATATAATTTGAATACACATATATACACACATTCAAAAAACCTAAAACAATCTGAATCATCCCATTTACACCCAATAGTACCTTGTCAAAAGTACTATTTCATAAATGATATTTCATATCAACAGACTGATACCCAAAGATTCTTCTCATTTTTAAAAGTCAAACCTTATTACAGAATCTTTAAGGTAGTCTAAAATTTGTATTAAGCCAAAATTTTATAGTAGCATCTGTTTCTCCAAAATTTGGTTGCTACCTAAGACCTGGACATTGTTTTCCCATATAGATATTTTTGCAGTTATAAGATTTTATTTAAAATTTCTGGGAGGCCAAGGGGGATGGATCACCCAAGGTCAGGAGATCGAGACTGGCCTGACCAACATGGAGAAACCCCATCTCTACTAAAAATACAAAATTAGCCGGGCACGGTGGTATGTGCCTATAATCCCAGCTACTCAGGAGGCTGAGGCAGGAGAATTGTTTGAACCTGGGGGGTGGAGGTTGCAGTGAGCCGAGATCATGCCATTGTACTCCAGCGAAAAAACTCTAACTTTGATTAAAGGTGTTGCTATATTATAACTCATACTTTGATTCTGTACACAAGAAGTTAGACATTTTCATGTTCTCCTTTGGGCATAAATTGGGCTCACCGTGGCTCCCACTTCCTTGGCTTTATCTATTGTTTCCATTGCTAACATGTGATCAAGACCAGGGTCCAATCCCAATTCACCAATGATTGTGATGCCGGCATCTTCCACACTGCAGCAGGTGGAAAGAGGAAAAAGGAAAACTTGAATATAAAATAAAAACAATGCCATGGATTCACTCAGTTTGTTTAAAATGAGTAAAACTTGCCTCTTTTCCAATTCTTTTAGTGCTGGTGTGATGTAGCTTGCAGTGACCATGTTAACTTTGTTTGTGATGCAGGCCTTGGCCACAAGAGGATGCAATACATAAGGCAACAAGCTTAAAAACAGGAAAAAACTAATCAGAAACTCCCTTTTTCAACCATACCTGCCGAGGCACTTGAACTGTATTAAGGCTGCATCTTAAGTTACTGTTCTGATTAAATTATTCTCTCAGAAAAGGCAACACTTAAACACTGTTGGTGGGAATGTAAATTAGTTCAGCTGCTACAGAGGGCAGTTCAGAGATTTCTCAAAGAGCTAAAGGTTGAACTACCATTCGACCTAGCAATCGCATTACTGGGTATCTATCCAAAGGAAAATAGATTATTCTACCAAAAAGACACATGCACTCACATATTCATCACAGCACTATTCTCAATAACAAAGAATGGAATCAATTGACATGCTCATCAATAGTGGATTGGGGCCAGGAGCTGTGGCTCATGCCTGTAATCCCAGCACTTTAGGAGGCCAAAGACAGGTGGGTTGCTTGGGTCCAGGAGTCAAGACCAGCTTGGACAACATGATGAAATATCATCTCTACAAAAAATACAAAAATTATTCCAGCATGTTGGCACATCCCTGTAGTCCCAGCTACTCCAGAGACTGAAGTGAGAGGATCACTTGAGCTCAGGAGGTCAAGGCTGCAGTGAGTCGAGATCACACCACTGCACACCAGCCTGGGCAGTACGGTGACATCCTGTCTCAACAAAACAAAACAAAATGAAACAAAAATAAAAAAAACACCAAAAACAGTGAATTGGATTAAAAACTGTAATACATACACACCACTGAATACTACACAGCCATAAAAAAGAATGAAATCGTGTTCTTTGCAGCAACATGGATGCAGCTGGAAACTATTATCCTATGCAACCTAACACAGAAACCGAAAACCAAATACTACAGGCTCTCACTTACAAGTAAGTGGGAGCTGAACATTGGGTACACATGGAATTAAAGATGGAAACAATAGACACTGAGCACTACCAGAGGGAATAGGTAAGAAGTGAAGCAAGGGCTGAAAAACGACCTACAGGGGACTATGCTTGTTACGCGGTGACAGATTCATTGATACTCCAAACCTCAGAATCACACAATATACCTTTGTAATAAACCTGCACATGTAACCCCTGATTGTAAAACAAAAGTTGAAAGTAAAATAAATAAATATTCCCTTGGACATGATAAATGACTCCCTGTGGGCCACAGAATAAAATCACCTTTTTATCACATTTAAATAGCAACACTATTCTATTGACCTGAGGAGGAATAAATGCCTGAGAAGTGGTTTTATTGTTTATTTTGTTTTTGTGTTTTTTTATGAACTAGAGAAAATCTGAAGTACACAGAATGAATTTGACAAGTACAATGGTATAGTATGATATTGTTTATGTTGGTTTTCATTTTTTTGTTGGTACTGTAGACAGTTTTACCAAATAGTCAATAAAAAACAACTTAAATATTGTCATGTAATTGACAGGGTATTTTATTATTCCTACAATATATATAATATATTGTACTATTCCTACAATAGACGCTATTGTACAATAGATACACTCATTTATATAATACTCATATTTATGAAAATTTGATTTCTCGTGATTATGCAGTCCCAGCACCAAATTATAATCCCAAAGCCAAAATTGTTGAAAACCCAGTCAAAGTTGAGCTTTGAGTACAGCATCATCTGTTGTTCACCATGTGGATTTTTAGCCATTTTGATAGCCTTTACCCTGATCAACACCATTAAAGCCTATCTCCTCCTTGGGCCCTTCCTAGAGTCTACTCAATAACATAATACATGGGCCATCTTGACCTAGTTTGCCACTTCCTGATAGCCATTTGGAAGATGTGGAGGTAAAAAGAAAGACAGCCCTATTTTAGTGGAAAACCCAAGACAGAAAACCCCAATCCAAATTATATCTGCCCCTTTAAGAAATTTCCAAAAAGTTGTTTTCCTCCACAAAGCTTTCCCAGATTTCCCCAAAGCCAGATATCCTTCCTCTGCATGCAACCAGTTATATCTTTTTAACATTTAATGGAATTTGATTCATTTGTCCCTGTATTTCTACAGCTCATGTATTACATTATTGAGTAGACTCCAGGAAGGGCCCAAGGAGGAGATAGGCTTTAATGGTATTGATCAGTGTAAAGGCTATCAAAATGGCTAAAAATCCACATGGTGAACAACAGATAATGTTGTACTCAAAGCTCAACTTTGATTGGGATTTCAACAAATTTGGCTGTGGTATAATAATTTGGTTCTGGGACTGCATAATCATAAGAAATTAAATTTTCATAAATATGAGTGTTATATACATGAGTATATCCATATTCTATTCTAGGAATAATAAAATACCCTATTAATTACATGACAATATTTAAGTTGTTTTTAATGCCTGTTGGGTAAAGCTGTCTACAGTACTAACAAAAAAATAAAAACCAATGTAGACAATATCACACTATATCATTGTACTTGTGAAATTCATTCTGCATACTTCAGATTTTCTCTACTTCATAAAAATAAAATAAAACCACTTTTCAGGCATTTACTCCTCCGCAGGTCAATGGAATAGAGTATTGCTATTTAAATTTATTATAATGCAGAATAAAATTGTGTGTCTTTTATCAGTATCAAAAGCTCCTGGTCTCTGTGTTTTTGTTTCTTTAAACCAAAAAGAATTAGTGCTAACAAATTTGGTAGACTTTTAGAAGCTACTGAGTAAAATACTTGCAAAACTATTAAACCAAATATTAATAGAAAAGGTGCAACGTCATCATCTTAAAAGTTAAGCAGAAATTTTAAAATCACATTCTCCATATTAAACTTGCCCAATCAAAATTTTACTAAGATCTAATAATATTTTAAAACTTGTCCTTATAATAGGCTGAGAAGTACAATATTAGGATTGTGCCTGGTGGCACTTTTTAGACAAACGGATTAGAGTTCATAATTCGTCTCGAATATGATATAGGAAGCACTCAATGGGACATACTCAAATTATTTAAGTTGACTCCAGCCCAATTACTCCAAAAGGTCGAAAATGTCACTTGTGAAAAATACATACAAAATCATGTGGAATTTTCAAAGAAACATTGAAATCAATTACTACTTTGTATTAAATTATTAAAAACTAAATTTGAAAAATTAAAACTATGAGAATTGTACATATTACTAAAATTTTTTTGAAACATATTCTTCACTCATTTTTTTGTAGTCCCTATCACTGTGTTTATATCAAAACATTCTTTCCCCAACTTAAAAAATAAAACAGTTGGCCAGGCATGGTGACTTATGCGGTAATCCTGGCACTTTGAGGGGCTGAGGCAAGTAGATTGCTTGAGGAGTTCAAGACCAGCCTGAGCAACATGGTGGTACCCCATCTCTACTAAAAATACAAAATGTAGTTAGGCATAGTGGCATATGCCTGTAGTCCCAACTACTTGGGTGGTTGAGGTGGGAGGATCACTTGAGTCTGGGAGGCGGAAGTTGCAGTGAGCCAAGATTGTGCCACTGCATTTCAGCCTGGGTGACAAAATGAGACTCTGTCTCGAAAAAAGAAAAAAAAAATGTAAGGAATGCTATAGGATAACACTGTTTAATGGCATTACCACTATTCAGCATAGAAAATATACCAAATGAGAAAAGATTAAATATAAAACAGATTTTGCTAATGCTAAATCTTATTGAAGGCCACCTGTTTGCTAAATTTTAAAATTTGGATATATTAATAGATTGATGTCTTTGTCCATTATCTTGTCACATTTTATTTCAGATTTTGTTTCAAATGGATTTTATTGTGTTATTTACTTTTAATTAAAAATGATATATTTAGGTACCTATATGTGTCAAAATAAATTACTGTTCTACTTGGAAGGCTAGATCATTCTATTTTGAATCAGGATTTCTTTACATGGTAAATATCAGAGAGGTTTAGTTGGTCATTAGTCAATTTTTTCTAAATAAAAATTAATGCTCATAAAATTTTTATAAGTTGAGTGACATTTTAAGTGCATGAAGTTAGCCTACATTTAAAGATATCAAGAGAAATGTAAAAATGCCAGCTTACAGAACTACCTTTCATTATATGATTTCCAAGCTTGCTTTTTTTTTTTTTTTAAGCAGAATATCACAGAACTTCCTCCAAAGATATAATTTGAAACTGATCTGTGAAAGTGATTAGGTAATCACTGTGAGGGAACAGATAACTGTCTTCCTCTCATCTTGGGAAAATTCTAAGAATGAATAACTATTCTCATCACTTTGACATTTCAAAACCAAATGTATTTATTATTTATTTATTTATTACTTTGATTTTAGGTTCAGGGGTACATGTGCAGGTTTGTTATATAGGTAAATTGTATGTCATGGGGGTATGGTGTACAGATTATTTCATTATCTAGGTAATAAGCATAGTACCCAATAGGTAGTTTTTCGATCCTCACCCTCCTCCCACCCTTTACCCTCAAGTAGTCCCTGATGTCTGTTGTTCCTTTCTTTGTGTACACATGTACTCAAATATCAAAACCAAATTTAGTTATAGAGTAAATCTCATGTAATGCTGTATCTAGATGTTAGATCTGCATTTTTGTTAGTAATACCCTATTTCAAGATCTGTTGCTATGATGAGACTTAAAATGGTCATAAGGCTAAGTAATCTACTTATTTCATTTAAGTTTTATAACTCCAAAGGATAAAATAGATACTAAAGTATATAAAACATTAGTACCTTATGACCTGCAATCGCACTTCTAAGTATATACCCAACAGAAATGTGTAATTACTGTTTTGGTGAAATGGTCACAAAAAGACAAATACTGAAATGTGTATAACAGTGTGACTTATAATAGCCAAAATCCAGAAACAACCTAAATATCTATAGTAGTCAAATAAATAACAATGGCATATTCACTTAATGAAATACTACACAGCAATGAGAATGAATAAACTATTATTTCAGACAATAGCACAGATGACTCTCATAATCACAACACTGAATGGGAGAAGGCAGCCACAAACAAAGATATATTGAATGATTCCAATTATATGAAGTTTGACAGCAGGCAAAAACTGAATGTCAGAAGCCAGGATAGTGTTTACTCTTAGAGGATGGGGTAAGTGAATAGAAAGAGGCACCAAGAAGGCTTCTGGGGAATTATTGATACTCTGTTTCCTGACATAGATAATCGTCACAGAGTGTGTTCACTTTGTGAAAATTCATTGAGCTATATACTTATGATTTGTGCACCTTCTGGACCCATGCTTCCATTAAAAAGTTTACTCCAAAAGAGTATGAAGAGAGAAGTGAAAGAGAAAGAGAAAAATAAGAGAAAATAAATAACAACAAAAATATGAAACTCATTTCTTGCCAGGTACTGACCTGATGACAAGATCGTGTTTTGCCACCAAGAAGCCCAGCTTCTCTTCTTGTTTACAAATGTCCATGCTAACAGGATTAATATTATATTTCTTGCCTAACTGTTCAATTTGATTCTTCATGTCAGAGCCTATTTCAAGAATTAAAAGTCACATTTTTAGATATGTCAGAGTAAAATATATTTTAATATCTCCAAAAATAAATGTTCAAATTTCAGAAACAAAGTAGTCTTCTAAAATGTAGAAGTCAATATGCTTTAAAATATATTTTTCTTCTTCAAAAATCAGGGCTTATTTACCTACTGTTATTTCTATATTGCCATCTCTTGATAAATATTCCAATACAGGCTCAGATACATAGCCAGATCCAAGAACCAAAACCTTTCTGGTGCCCATTGAAAGTGACTGAGCACATTCCCTATTTAAAAACAAAGAGGGGAAGGGGCTAATTAAAATTTTATTTTTTTTTAAATAACAGAATCTTGCTGTCCACAAATCATACTAAAACCTAAATAATGAAGCAACATTTTCTCTTCACATTACTTAAAATAAGAATTTCAACATGAGTGAGTTCCCTATACTAACATATTTCTTCAATTATTTTACATTTTGTACAATGAAGAACAATAGACGTGATGTCTCTGAGATACATATCTGTAGATGTATAGATGTATTTCATGAATTTCCAGTATTACTAGTGAGGTGCAGGTGCTGGACCTTTTCTTGGTTTGCTTGTGATTGAGTAACTTGGTCTCACATTTTATCCTTCCAGAAGATGTCAATTCAAAATCATGCAAGGGGCTTTACCTTGGAAACTTTATTTATTACTCACAACAATCCCAGAAGGCAACAATTTGAGGAAGTGAATATTATTACCCATATTAGAAATTGTTTTGTCATATATCTTTAGGGTCACTTGAAAATAGTCAAAACCATGACTTTGAGTCACAGATGTCACGGGTTAAATGTAGAAAACGAAGACTAGTGTTAGGCATTATTTTAATTCTTGAACAGTTTATTCTGCTGGAATTATACCTTCCAGGCAGATGATTTTCTGTCTTTCCCACAAACTATGACCTCCAAGGCAGCATCTAAGACTTACCCATCTTTACAAACCCATTAATGCTCAGCATGTTTTGTCTTAAATATGGAATTTACTCATTAAATATTTTTTGAATCAAATTCCCTGTTATCAACATGAAACCAAAGAAATGGCCTGGTGCCAGGGACTGAAGTAGGCTCTGTTATTTAGAATCTTTAGGTCAGAATGTCTCTTGAACATTAACCCAAAAACCTTTTCATTAATTTTAAATAAATAAAAATAAGTATAAGTATAAAACATTCCTGTCCCTCTGTACCCCAACACACATTATTACTGATGTGAAGAGGTCTCATTTAACTACTACCATCTCCCATTTCACCTTCCAGAGAGAACCACTATTATTTGGTTATTATACATTCTGTCTAACAATATTTTCTGTAGTTTGTATAATTAAAACATTCCAAATATCAAATGCTCAAAATAGAAACTCACTCCTAGATTCTAATACTGTCTAGCCCATCAGTACCCCCAAACCCCAGATTCCAGGTTAATAATCACTGTGCTAAGTGATGAAAAGAACAGAAGAATAAGGCAGGATTCAATACAAAGTAAATTTCCTTTCAAAATGCAAACTTTGTTATTAGTATCTTGGCACAAGTTTCCATCAGGAAAGAGGGCAGCAAGTTCTAACAATCAGAGCCAAGTAAACCTGCTGCTACATGAAATATGACACATAAGAGAGAAGATATCATCATGACCAGTCATGTTAGACTTGTCACTAGTATCAGTAGTGTAAAAGACCATCGGATGATGAGAATCAAAACATAGAGCTATGAAAAACAAACAGATGTGAAGTTTTACCTGTAAGAAATTCTCCTATAGGGTTATAGAGCTAGCTTCTCTTATTCACAAAGAAAAAAAATTAAATACTTAGTGTCTTACACCAGAATATTTCACTGACACATCAAAAAGTAACTATAATCAAACCAGCACATATGGAAAAGGCCTAACTATAGCACGCTTGATCTGGGCAGATCTCTTTGTTTACTGCTTGTAGGTAGAACCACTGAAAAAGAAGATAAGACAATTGTGTTGTGTTGTGTTGTTTCCCAGCTCTGGTTTCTCCTGAGACTTCAGTACATGGGTTCCTTTTTTAATGTGAAAAGACCAGCAGAATAGATATAAACACAGATCAAAGGCAATTGGCTGGAGGAGACCAGAACATTCCAAAAAAATAAAATTAATGTTTTCAAACTTTAAGTAGTAAAATCAATTAAGGAAACAAGGGCCTTAGCTAAAGACCTTTCTAAAGTAATGATCCTCTTGAGTAGATTCGCTACATTACTTTTTGGCATCTTCCCCCTAATAAGAATCCCTGGAGAAAACTACCTCTTATTTCCATCAATTGTTTATTCACAACTCTCTTAATTTGTAATCACGAATTCACTTTCCTGAACACTACACTAAACAAAAGAGAGTCCAAATCCTCAACTAAAACCCAAACTGAAAGCACCACAGAAAGTCTAGTGTGCTCATTTTCCTTTGAAAAAATAACTGAGGCATGACCATGTGTAAAAAGTCTGAGAAAAATAAGAAGCTACCTGAAGGACAATCCTTTTGGATTTTTGCTTGCTTACCCATACATCTACACAGGCTATTAGAAAGCCAAAATGATGCTATACTACTGTTAAGTGGGAAACAGTCACAGTGGTTTCAGCCAGCCACTTAGTTTGGATTTCCTACATTTTCAAACATCATCAAAATTTATATATTGTACAAACTTAATATTAAGAACTCCCATTGAAGCATTAAAAAATGCTCATTAATTCCAAGATAAGAATAAATGTATAAAACAAGATGATTTGAACAATACTTACCTGCTCTCCCGGAGTGTCTGGATATATTTATATTTATCAGGTAATGTACCGTTGGATGTAATCACTGCCTAAATGTATATGACACAAGACATTTCTTTAGTATCCACAGTTTAGTCCTACAAACATGGTCTCATGACTGATAGAGAAGAGACAGAATGGCAAAGATGGAGAGAGAGAGAGGGAGAGAGAAGAGAGCAAAAATGGTAATAGAAAAAACACATTTATGAAAAAATATTCTTCTCATAACTTACATCTCTCACCACAGGAGAAAAATTCTGACTTTCAAGAGGCTGTGTCGCATCTGATAATATCTGAAAGGAAAATGAGATTTGTAAGAGATAAAAGACACTGCAAAGAAGGCCTCTTGGTGTTTGTATCCATATTAAAATATTAATCAAGGGAAAAAAGAATTTAAGAAACAGTTTTCTGAGGATCACCGAGTATAAGGGATTGCTAATAGAAGTCTTCTACAAGCAATCAACTCTACGCACAAGACTATGGTGTTTCAGCACAAGTTCCAATTTTAAAACTAAAATTGGATTATAATCATCTTTGCTTGCTGTGAACACAAAAAAGCTGATCTTTTCCAACCAGTTAAATGTATCGTATTAAGCACGTTGCCAAATATCTTCACAAGCTTTATAGCTATAGTCCCCTCTTCAGGGCCTCTACTCCATTCCAAAAGTTCAAGTTGTTCTATTAGGAGTAGAGAATGAGGTTTTCCACTCAGCAAGGCCACCACCTCAGCAGTAAGGGGTCTCCCTCAGATCAGTATTAGTAGTTATATGTATAGATACATCAGCATTTCAAAGGTGGTAGCAAAAGTGACTTGACCGAGTAGAACCTTGAAAGTCATGCACATCCTCTTCACGTTATCTTGCAGAATTGAGTCAGAGACAACAAAGTAAGATGTCTCATATTAACATTTCAGCAACCTTCTAGTCCTCCTCTTTTCTCCCAAGGAACCCAACTCTTGAATATGCTGCCAAGAAGCAATGGGTATATAAGTTAGTCCCTCTCAGAGAACCCAATTCTTGAACATACTGCCAAGAAGTAATGGCATATAAGTTAGCATTGCTGCTTCTGGTGGACAGAGAAGGGCCAATGAGACAGTCTTTCCTCCCTAACTAGGGGTTAAGATCTAGCTCACTCACCCAACTAAAAACAAGAAAAATGTACCTAGAAGGTGCTGGTAACAGAGAATTTATTTAGTGTATTAAAATAAATAGAAAATTGTTTTCATGTATCTAAAATAAATGGTAATTTGAAAAACGTCAGTTCTCCAAAGGACTGAAACCTAGATTTAAATTACTTCATCCTAACTGAATTTAGGTGAATTTCTCCTCACCTTTATCCTTGTCTATCCCACTGCCCAAAACAAAGAATATATTATCTGGAGGAAAATCACACAATATCCGGAGCCTCGAGTCATCTCTAAAGTTTTGAATACACAATGTCTAGCATTCAACCAAAAATAAATAAATATATTGAAAGGTAAGAATTTACTGAAAACCATAAAAACCAAGGAAAAAAACAGGGAATATAAATAGAACCAAGAACTGTAATGGAATTAACAAAAATGATTCTAAATTGTGATTAATATGTTCAAAAAATAAAGGTACAATATAGATAACTTTTTAAAAAGATGTAAAACTTTAAAATTAATGAATATAAATTTTTGATAAATGAAAAATAACATGTTTCAAGCCTTGGAAGACAGATGAACCTCCAGGTATATGAAGAAGCTCAACAATCTCCAGAGTCAACCCAAAGAGGTCCCTTTATAATTACTGTCAAAAACCAAAGAAAAATGATGTTAAAAGCAGCAAGATAAAAATATCATGCTACATATAAGGGACTCTCCATTAAACTATCAGCAGATTTCTCAGTAGAAATCCTGCAGGCCAGGAGAGAATGGAATGATATATTCAAAGTGCTGATGCACAGAAAACTGCCAGTCAAAAATGCTATACACAGCAAAGCTGTCCTTCAGAAAAAAAGAAGAAATAAAGCCTTTCCCAGACAAGCAAAACTTTAGGGAATTCTTCACCACTAGAGCTGCTCTATAAGAAATGCTTAAGGGAGTTTTTCAAGTAGAAAAAAATAACATTACTAACATGCAAACATATAAAAGTACAAAATTCACTGGTAAAGGTAGATATACAATCAAATCCAGAATACCCCAATACTACTATGGCACTCTGCAAAAGATAGGTATTTATAACTCTAAGATGAAAGTTAAAATTCACAACAGTCAAAATAATGATGGCTACAATAAAGTATCAAGAAATATGTAAGCTAAACAGATGTAAATTGTGACATCAAAAAATATTAACTGGTTGCACCCAACTCAGAAAGGTAAAAAAGAAATATATATAGTATGTATGTATACTATATATATACACACACACAAATATATATTTGTGTGTGTGTGTATATATATAGTATACATACATATATATATGTGGCTGAACGGATTAAAAAAAACAAAGCTCTACTAGTCACAATAGCAAAGATATGGAATCAATCTTGATACCTATCAGTGGTGAATTGGATAAAGAAAATGTGGTATATATACATCATAGAATACTATGCAGCCATAAAAACGAATGAAATTGGCCAGGCACAGTGACTCACACCTGTAATTCCAGCACTTTGAGAGGCCAAGGTGGGCAGATCACCTGAGGTCAGAATTTCAAAACTAGCCTGGTCAACATGGTGAAACGCTGTGTCTACTAAAAATACAAACATTAGCCAGGCTTGGTCGTGGGTACCTGTAATTCCACCTATTGGGGAAGCTGAGGCAGGAGAATTGCTTGAACCCAGGAGGTGGAGGTTTGTGAGATGACATGGTGCCACTACAGAAGCCTGGGTGACAGAGCAAGACTGCCTCAAAAACAAACAAACAAACAATGCAACTATGACCTTTGCAGCAATCTGGAATCAGTTGAAGGGCATTATCCTAAGCAAATTAATGTAGGAACAGAAAACCAAATGCCACATGTTCTCAGTTATAAGTGGGAACTAAACACTGAGTATACATGGACACAAAGAAGGGAACAATAGAAACCAGGGTATACTTGAGAGTGGAGGATGGAACGAGGGTGAAAATTGAAAAACTACCTATCAGGTATTACGCTCACTACTTGAGTGATGAATTCATTTGTGCTCCAAATCCCAGTGACATGCAATTTACCCATGTAATAAAACTGCACATGTACCCCCTGAAGCTAAAATAAAAGTTGCAAGGAGAAAAAAAAAAAATAGACTCTCACTATATGCTGCCCACAAGAGACATACTTTCACCTTAAGAATGCACATAGGCTTTCATCCCTCAAAGGGGATGAAAGAAGATATTCCATGCAAATAATAGCCAACAGAGGACAGGGACAATACTTATTCCAGACAGAAAAAACTTAACTCAAAAATTTTCACAAGAGACAAAGAAAGTCATTATTAAGGAGCTCAAGTCATTAAGAAGACATAGCAATTGTAAATATATGTTCTCTTAATATTGGAACACCTAAACATATAAAGCAAATATTAATTAATCAACATGAAGGTAAAAAATAAATACCAAAGCAATAATAGTAGGAGACTTCAATATCCCTCCTTCAAAAATGGAAAGACCAACCAGGAAGAAATTAATTAGAAAATACTGGAATTGATCTGTGCTTTAGACAAAATGAACCTAATAGATAAATATAGAACGTTTTATCCAGTAGCACCAGTGTACGCATTCTTCTCTACTACTTATAGATCATTCTCCAGAATAGATCATATGGTAGGCCACAAAATACATCTTAACAAATTTTTAAAAAACTGAAATCATATCAAGTATTGTTTCTGATCACAATGGTATGACACTAGAAATCAATAACAAGAGAGACTTTGGAAACTACAAACACATGCAAATTAAACAACATATTCCTCATCAATCAAGGAGTCAATAGAGAAATTAAAAAGGAAATTTAAAAATTTCTAGAGACAAATGAAAATGAAAACACAACCTACCAAAAGCTATGCGATAGAGCAAAAGCAGTACTCAGAAGCAAGTTTATAGCAATGTTGAAATGCCTATTTCAAAAAAGAACAAAGATCTCAGATAAATGAATGTTGCACCTCAAGAAACAAGAAAAACAGGAACAAACTGAAACCAAAATTACTAGACACAAAGAAATAGTGATGGTTAGAGAAGACATAAACAAAACAGAGACGTAAAAAATACAAAAGATCAATGAAACAGTTTGTTTGAAAAGGTAAACAAAATCAACAAGCCCCGAGTCTGCCTAAGGAGAAAAGAGAAAAGACTCAAATAAATAAAATTTCAGATGACTGTTGTTGGTGTATTGGAATGCTAGTGATTTTTGTATGTTGATTTTGTATCCTGAAACTTTGCTGAAATTGCTTATCAGCTTAATTTTTGGGCTAAGACTATAGGTTGTCTACATATAGAATCATATCATCTGCAAAAAGGGATAATTTGACTTCCTCTCTTCCTATTTGAATGCTCTTTATTTCTTTCTCTTACATGATTGCTCTGGCCAGGACTTCCAATACTATGCTGGATACAAGTGATGAGAGAGGGCATCCTTGTTGCCAGTTTTCAAGGGTAATCAATGTCATTAAAATGGCCATAGTGCCCAAAGCAATTTACAGATTCAATACTATTCTTATCAAATTACCCATGACATTCTTCATAGAACTAGAAAGAAACTATTTTAAAATTCACATGGAACCAAAAAGAAGCTGAATAGCCAAGGCAATCCTAAGCAAAAAGAACAGAGCTGGAGGTATCACGCTACCTGACTTCAAAGTATATTACAGGGCTACAGTAACCAAAACAGCATAAGACTGGTACAAAACCAGAAACAACGACCAATAAAACAGAATAGAGAGCTCAAAAATAAGGCCACACATCTACAACCATCTGATCTTCAACAAAGCTGACAAAAACAAACAATGAGGAAAGGACTCCCTGTTTAATAAATGGTGCTGGGATAACTGGCTAGCTATACAGAAGATTAAAACTGGATCGCTTCCTTACACTATATAAAATGGTGTAAATAAACTCAAAGTGCATTAAAGAATGAAATGTAAAACTCAAAATTAAAAACCCCGGAAGATGATCTAGGCAAAACCATTCTGGACATGGGAACTGGCAAAGATTTCATGATGAAGAACCAAAAACAATTGCAACAAATGGGATCTAATTAAAGTAAAGAGTTTCTGCACAGCAAAAGAAACTATCAACAGAGTAAACAGTCTACAGAATGGGAGAAAATATTTGCAAACTATGCATCTGACAAAA